GACAAACCTATGCTCCTGTTCAAAAGATGGGGAAGAAGTGTGAGCCGAGCGATAACCTAACCTATTTAGGAAACATTAAGGTTAACCATAGACTTAAAGAGGTTAAGATTGTAGTGATCGGGAAAGCATCCTCTCGGGAGTCTGTTTCACACAGTAGCGGTTCTTGGGAGAAAAGCAATCCGGGTTGAACTTACCTCTTACTAATGGAATACGAAAGGGAATGAGGTGGTTCGTCTCTGTGAATGTGACATGCCGGATCGTAGGTGTGAACTGGTAGAATGAACGGCTCTTCAGAACATTTCCCAGGCAACTAGCTAAAGACTTGCAAGGTTTCATACGTGGGAAAGGTCTTCTAGGTTGGAAAATAATTCATCACCCGCAAGGCTGCGTTGACGCTTTTGAACTTTAACAAGATTGATTGATTGTGCTTAACAGTCTCTCAACTTCTTGTGGGTCATTTAGAGCCAAAGTGATTGTACTGTAAACGGATTTTATAATTCGTCAAGTATGGATGAGAGTAAGTTCTTCAGATATGGCTGAAAGGAAATTTTATTTAACAAGATATGGCAGCAATGCTCCATTTGGGATCTGATCTGGCTCTTGTAAAGACAGAGTAGGGTAAAAGGAGTAAGGTACTTATTAAAGCGGCACAGGGGAAGCGATCATTGTTCCAGCATCTTTAGCAATGGATTGTATGTATATGTTCCACTTGAGGTGTGGGATGAACTTCTAAGTCTAAACTTATTTAACTGTATTTGAAGAGTAATACTTCTCTAAAATATCTCTCGTCAAAAATGACTCACAAGGTACTTCCATTAAGTTTCTTGTATTTTTATTGTATGCCAACAGTTGATGTTTTGAAACGTAGTAATTTTCTAGTAAATTGTGGCCGTATTCGTAGTTGATGTTGCTAAGGGTTGGTATATATATATATATATATATATATATATATATATATATATATATATATATGTGTGTGTGTGTGTGTGTGCGTTAAATGCGAATGTCAGTGTGTCACACTTTTTCAACATTACTCCTAGAGGCCGTATCCCAAAATATCATACCATTTTGGAATCAGGCCGACCCCGTGAGCAAATTAATACATTCCGGGTCGGATTTGAACTAGCAATCCTGAAATTTTGGATTGTCAAGTTTTCATTACTGCGATTGTTATCGGATCCCGCCATCTTGGCTTCTACTGATAAAAAATTAAAGGGACACAACTCTCTAACTTTCAATAGCTCTTGTTCAAATGAAAAAAATACTGTTTTAAAATTACAGTGTTTAAAAATAAAATTGTCCGTCTTTTAAACTTTACTTCTAAAGACCGTATCCCAACATATCATACCATTTTGGAATCAGGCCGACTCCATGAGCAAATTAAAAACATCCCGGATTCGGAACCGGATCTGGACACGCAATCCTGAGATTTTGGATTCTAACGGTTTCTAACTGTGATTGTTTACGACGATATTTTGCGTGATTTTTTTGTGACGAATTTTTTGTATGATAACAATTTTTATAACTTGGAAATAAATTTGGGAATAATCAAAATTAATTGAGAAAGTCACCCATGAAATTAAAATAATTGTTTGTACGGAAAGTAAGGACCTACGTACATCAAATTGTCTTTAAATTAAGTGGCGGCAACTGAATTATTGCCAAACTTTTAAAAGGCAAGCTTAAATATTAGTGCAATGCATAAATGCAGCGATCAATTTTGAGTTATGTAGTTTATTGTTGCCTATCGCCGCCTACCTATTGTGATGAATGCACAATCAAGAGTTCCCCGCAGGAACTAGCTTAAATGCCATCTAATAAGGCGGCTTTTAAGTTACTATATATATATATATATATATAAAAGAAATATGTTGTAGTGGTTCCAACGAGAGAAAAGTATGTATATTAAAAAGAAGAGGGGTGCCGCAAACGTTTTTGGTTGTAATGTGGATTTATTGAGAAAAAAATATTATACTTTGTTTTACATAATTTCACGACACGTGTTTCTGGTCTGGTCTCGCAACCGTCTTCAGGTGAAAGTGGAGATTTTTACATATTATTAAAATAATTAATTTTCTTCATGTTCAATGTGGAATATTCTCGATATGAGACATTCTGTTTGTGTGTTGGCAATCCGAATTTTCTTTCTAGTTTTCTAGTTTCTAATTTTCTTTAATATATATATATATATATACATATATATATATATATATATATATATATATATATATATATATATATATATATATATATATACACACAAAAAGGAAAGCTTATCTAAGCCGATGCGTTTCGTCCTCTGAGGGACTTTATCCAGGCAAATCCTCAGAGGGCGAAACGCCTCCGGCTAAGATAACTTTTCCTTTTGTCTTTATTCATATTATCCTTTATAGATATAATCTATCCGCGCACACACACACATGTATATATGTATGTATGTTTTGGCACCATGTCATTATTGAGGCATGTGTTATTAAAGACTACGGAAATTTTTTTTATTCCTGTTTTTTTTCCTAGGTGTTTTGCCGAGCGCTTTCGATGGTTGTCAAACGAAAGCTCTTCGACTAGGGTCTTCTTTCAACAACTTAGACCCAAATGTGAAACAACTTGCGAGAAAGCATGAAAAAACAGAAAAAAAAAAGATTATTAAACGGAAAATTTCCGTAGTCTTTAATAACACATGGCTCAATAATATCTATCTATCTATCTATCTATCTATCTATCTATCTATCTATCTATCTCAGCCTGTTCATTATCTATCTATCTATCTATCTATCTATCTATCTATCTATCTATCTATCCTTCGCTCTCTCTCTATATATATGTGCGTGTGTATGTGTATGAATATATATGTATATATATGTATGCATATATTTATGTATGTAGCTGTCTATCTATCCATAATAGTATTTCTACCTTTTTATATCAGTAAGTATTTAATTTTCAATATATATATATATATATATATATATATATATATATATATATATATATATATATATATATATATATATATATAAAGATAATTGGAGTGGTTACCCGTTGCCTTTCCCACGATTTTGAATTCAGGACTTTCCTCCCTTTCAAACTTTAATACTCCCTGAAAGAACACCTATTTATCTCCATAGGCAAAAATTCAGGGCCACAATATTAAACAAAAACGCCGCTGGTTTGATGTAATCTTGAGCCGACAAACTCGTCCTTAAAATTGAGTTTTTTTTTTATCAAGCACACAGCACTATTACACAATTAGTAGGCAACATTTGTACTGTAACGGATATCAACGCTGAAAGTGGAATCGGTTATCTGAGTTCAAATCCCTGCTTAGTCTGTTGTGTTCACTTTCGCACTAATGCCCACGGGAAAAGCATGAATCCTTCTCTACTTCCTCCCCTGCTAGAGGTTAAAATGGTTTGACTGAACTCTCCATTGGGTTTGCAAACAACTTAAAGGAAGGAAAGCTTTGGATTCTAAACCGTGGGGGAAGCAACAGGAAACTCCACTGTAGGGAAATTCAAACAAAGTAATGTGGAGAATCATGATCGCCTACGTCCCGAAGGGATATGGTATTTAAAAAAAAAGCCAAATTTTTATTACCCTGTAAATTAGATCCGTAATTATTAATGCTATCATTTCTAGATAATAAATAATTGCATGAAAACGGCTGGCGTTCCACAACAATGCAAGTAAAAAAAAAAAAAAAAAAGGGACAGAAAAAGGTTACGTAAAACAAAAGCCCCTCACTCTCACCCTCAAAATAATCCCTATCCTCACCAAAAAAAAAAAAAAAAAACTCAACCACCCCCCGACAAAAAACTATCCCTACGCATGACTTATGCTGAAATCTAAAATCGAAATAAAGTAAAAATGTAATAACAAAAGTAAATAAACACAGTAGGCAAAAAAAAAGAAAAAAAAAAAAAAGGAAAAGGTCAAGCCTGTTCGCTCTCAATTCCGCACGAATCTTGGCTGAAGGTTGGTTGCAGCCAGAATTCTGTGTTGCAGATCATAAATCGGCGTCGTTGTCAGATCGATCACAATATGTATCGATCTCTATCACATTTATGGGCAAGATGTGAAAAATATGATGCCTGTATGTACGCTGGTGTACGTTTGTTTACGTATTCGCAATTACGTGTGTGTGTGTTGTGTGTTTGTGTATGTGCGTGTGATGCACATGCGTTTAATAAGCGTGTACATGTTCACATCTTTGTGTGTGTATGTGTGTGTGCGTGTGGTGTGCGTGTCTGGGTAATACATCTGTGCGCGTGACGTAACTGTGTGTGCGTATGTTGTGCATGTACGAGTGTGTACGTTCATAAATATACGCGTGTGTATGTGCAGGTGTCCTGTGCATGTGTACGTTTATGCGTGAACGCGTGTGTACGTTCATACGTATACGCGTCTCTATGTGCAGGTGTCTTGTGCATGTGTGCATGTGGGTGTCATGTGCATGTGTGTGTGTGTGCGGTGTAATGTTCGTGTTTGTGTTTGTATGTTTATGTTAGCATGTGTACGTGTGTGTGAATAAACGCGTGTGTGGCGGAGGTGTGCTGTGTGTGTGTGTGTGTGTGCGCGTGTGCTGTGCGTGTTTGTGTGTCTTTATGTATACACGCATGTGTAGGCGTGTTTGTGCACGTGTGTGTGTATGCGTGTTTGAGTGTGTGTCTGTGTGTGTATGCGTGTTTGAGTGTGCGTTTGTGTGTGTCTGTACGTATGTGTATGTCTGTGTATGCGTCTTTACGTTTGTGCGCCTGTACGTATTTGTATGATTGTGTGTGTGTGTGTGTGTGTGTGTGCGCTCACGCGTACTTTATACTGAAACAACTCTTTACAAAGTGATTATGTCTTTGTCGACGCCTTTCTTGTCAAGCTGGCAAAGTGTTGACAAAATACAAAAGACGAATGTAATACTGATGTTAACTGAGTCGATAACAAGACGAGATTATTTGATTGAAGCAATTTGGCTAAAGATGAGAATATAGTCAGTGTAGCACTTTCTATAACTTGTTCAGAGATAGATAGATAGATAGATAGAGAGAGAGAGAGAGAGAGAGAGAGAGATCAGAAGATGAGTATGTAAAATAGTGAGATGTTGAAAAGTCTATATCTAAGAGGAAAAGAGGGTTGAATATACAGTGAGGAGATGTGTATATACGAGTAAGATAGCAGTATATTAGGAAATAGAGAGAGAAGGAAGTACTGAGAAAGAGACAGAGGAATATAAATATAAGAGAGTGAAAGAGAGAGAGAGAAAGAGAGAGGGCGATGGTATATGAAAGAAAGAAGAGTGTTCGTGCACGGATCAATGAGAGGTGAATGAAATAAAGGTCTTTGAGAGAGAGGGAATTTAATAACTGTCTGTGAGAAAGAGAAGGGAATGGAATAAGTGTCTGTGAGAGAGAGAGAGAGGGGAATGGAATAAGTGTCTGTGAGAGAGAGAGAGGGGAATGGAATAAGTGTCTGTGAGAAAGAGAGAAATGGAATAAGTGTCTGTGAAAGAGAGGGAAATCGAATAAGTCTCTGTGAGAGATAGGGGAATGTAATAAGCGTCTATGAGAGAGAGGGGAATGGAATAAGTGTATATGAGAGAGAGAGAGAGAGAGAGAGAGAGAGAGAGAGAGAATGTAATAAGTGTCTCTGAGAGAGATGGAGGTAGAATGAAAGGAAAGAAGGGAGAGAATTAAAATATATTCGTGCAATAAGAGACATATTAAATTATATTCATACATATGTATAAATATTAGGGAAGTCTTTTGTATATTGTGTGATGTCGCGTGTGGAAATTCCTAACAGCTAAAAAAATGTCTAATGGTATATACGTCTGTGTACAAGTACACGCATGCGCATGCGTACATACATGTATGTAGCTCTATTTGTGATTATGCATAAATTCATATTTTGATATATAATACACATGTGAGTATGTCTATGTGAGTGTGTTTGTGTGTGATTTGTGGATGACTAGCTCGTTTTTCTTTTGTATACCATCGCGCCGAATGGCAGTTAGGGTGATAAACACTATTTGATATATTCCGTTTGGAAGAAAAAAATTCCTTATTCTGGAACTCGCTGTCCGATCTTGGACATTAGTGGAAGATTTGAGAATGGGGAAAGTGAAGGCCAGTCTGAGAAAACGGAAGAAATATTGGAGAAGGGCGAGAAAAATAAGACCAAAGAAAGAACGAGAGAAGCGAAATATTGGCCCGGGTGTGGGGCTGGGGTCTGGAAACAAAGACAGCAGGAAGTGCAGTCTGCAATATTTACGCGTGTAATTTCAAGCAGCAACTGAATTAATTGACTAAGTTCAACACAAGTTCAAACTCGGTATCAGAAAAATGGCCGAGGCGGTTTGAACTCTTTGCTTGTCAGAGGCATAGATTTCGACGTAGTGAGATGTTCACTCAGTGTTGCTCAGTAAAAAGTTGCTAATAATTTGTTATTTTGCAGGATTCAAAATAGATATAAAGAGTAATATTTCCTTCAAACTATCCTTCAATTTGGGCGCCAAGCATAGATTCTTGCTTAGCAAACTCGTCACACAGGCAAGTGAAATCAATTATTATAGGATGCCCTGTTATGCACAGTGACAAACCGACCTATATATATATATATATATAATGAAATGGACAAAGTCCGACAATTATTTTAAGACATTTTTATGTTTATACATTCTTTTTATAGTTACAAATATTTAAGTAAATGTTCTATTTATAATAAACAGTAATTAACAACATTTACCGGCCTGAAAGTCCGAAAAATTTTCATAGAAAATATTTGTCCTCGACAGGAATCGAACCTTTATCCTATACGGAACCGTCATATAACCTGGCGTGCCTTTAACCAATTTGGCCACAGAGAAGCGTTCGGTTAGCAAGGTCGATTTTACTGTCTTTAAACTACAATCTTCCATGACTCTCTCACGTAGATTCATATCTGCTCATGGCGTATCCAAATGTGAACAAATGACGTCACACATTATGAAATTGACAAAGTCCAACAATTATTTTAAGACATTTTTATGTTTATACATTCTTTTTATAGTTACAAATATTTAATATTTAATGCTCTGTTTATAATAAACAGTATTAAACAACATTTACCGACATGAATGTCCGAGAAATTTCCATAGAAAATATTCGTCCTCCGACAGGAATCGAACTTGTATCCTATACGGAACCGTCATATATGGCGATTTGCTAAGCGTGGCTTAGATGTGACAGAAAGCTGAAAATATGGTGATTTTCTAAGTGTAACAGATGCGGTACAAAGCCGAAGGTATGGTGCACCCAGTGAGGATCTAACTCACTACTCAGTCCTCAGACGTGACTGATCTAGCAAGACAAGCTTGTAAAACTTTACACCGCATTTATTTTTATCCATAGCAGAGGGCTGAAGTTATAAGTCCATGTCTTTCACAAGAGCGTTAGTACGAAATGAGTACAAACGGCTTCGTAGATTTCATCTTCCATACTGTAAAATGACCACTGTTTAAGTTTAAAGTATAAACGCAACCAATATAGATTCAAATATAAACATGGCCAATGTTTGCCTATAGATGTGTTATATAGGAATAAAGTGTCGTTGCCGACACTTGAGTTTGAACATAGATCGCCAGTGAGCAAACACAACGACCCCATTATTGAATTAAGTGGATCACGTACCATGGGGAAAACGTATAATTAGGAATGACGTCTAATTGATCACTATTTCTACTCTATCCTCTATTACTATATGGAGCGCTATTCTCTACTCTATTCTCTATACTATTTCTCTATTCAGATCACTATACAGTGGTTACTATTCGAGCGAGTATTATCGAGCGAGTACTATTAGTGCTAATGCTATTTGAAGGCGTCTGACACCAGTATTGTCCAACGGCGTACTGTAGTTGTATCTGCGATTACAAAGTCTCTACTACAACGACTATTCCGAAAGTGACAACGAGTGGCAACGAGTGTTTGTTGACATCACAAAAGTGGCGACAAAGATTTGTAAGCATTCGCAAGGATTCCTTGAACTTACACGAGGATTCGTTCAGTAGAGTACAGCGGAATGGAAGAATTAAATGTTATCATGGTTCAAATGTTGGCACTACAAAAGCAACCAGAACAACAGTTGCAGCAACAAAAATTACAACAACAACAACATTTGCAGCAACAAAAAACGACAACATTAACAGCAATAACAATTACAACTACAACAGATTTTTTTTAGTTGTTTACCAAAACTATGAAAGAAAAAACTTCAGATTCATTCACTCCAGATACTATTGCTAAATCAATCAGCAAATTTGTATACAATCCAGATAACGGGATAAATTTTCCAGCTTATTATAGAAGATATGAAGGCTTTTTCAAAAGAGATTGTTCGCATTGGAATGATGAAAAGAAAGGGAATAATAAAATCCGCGTATGTGTTTAATTTTCAACGGGGTTAGATGAAAGTTTAAAAAAACATAACTACCCGTTAGCAAGTCCAGAGGAAGTTTTTGCCAAATTGCATGGAGGCAAATTTTTTCCTAAATTGGATCCGCCAGATGTTCATCTGCAAGTACTAGTGGACGAAGACTACTGAAAACTATTAACAATTAACACTCATAGAGGGTTATACAAATCCAACCGACTTCCTTTCGGTATAAAGGTAGCACCAAGCACATTCCAACAGATAATGAATACCATGGTTGCCAGTTTGGATTGTGCTCAAGCATATTTGGATGACATTCTTATTAAAAGTAAAACCTGAAAGCAACATGCGGAAGATGTCAAAAAAGTCTTTGAGAGAATCAAAGAGTATGGTTTTAAGATTAATGAAGGAAATTGCGAATTGTTTTTGGCCAGACTTCAATATTTAGGACAAATTATTGATGAAAATGGTAGACGACTCGATTCTTCAAGAGCCAGCGCAATAAAAAAATGTAACAACAAAGTTACAAGCATTTTTAGGGTTTGCTAAAACTATCATATATATATATATATATATATATATATATATATATATATATATATATACCTAATATAACGAATTAAGAGCACACTTGAATAACCTGCTAAAGAAAGATGTGAAATGCAATTGGACAGATAAATGTCAAAATGCTTTCGAAGAGATCAAGAAAGTCTTTACATCGGATTTAGCACTAGCACATTTTGACCCTAAATTAAAGATTTTGGTTGCATCAGATGCAAATGATTCGGGTATTGGTAGTGATACTACACAAATATGAGGACAGAACAACTAAACCAATAGCTCATGCTTCAAGATCATTGATTGCAGCTGAAAAAAACTACAGCCAGATTGAAAAGAAAGCATTGGCAATCATATTTGCTATGAAAAAAAGTTTCATAATTTACACATGGTAGAGAATTCATACTACAGACAGACCATCGTCCATTATTGTTCATATATGGATCAAAAAAGGATATCCCCACAAATACAGCAAATAGACTGCAGCGCTGGGGAACTATCCTATTGAACTATAATTATAAAATGGAATTTCTATCATTCAAAATTTAAGTCGTGCAGACGGGTTATTTAGACTAACACCAAGATTTTGCGAACCACTTGAGGACATTAATTGTGGCGATAAGGGCCAAAAATGAAATTAATAATGTATTATACAATACTGTAAGCGAACTGCCCATAATATTGGGGGAAATAAGAGCTAAGTCGGTAAAAGACGACTTTATAATGAGAATGAAGAAGCAATTAAGATTTAAAGAAAAAAATATTACTGGAAATAATGCATTTTCATTATGTAATAATGTACTTATGCGTGCAGAAAGAATTGTGATACCAGCATCGTTGTAAAAACCAATATTAAAAGAATTTCACATAGGACACCCAGAAATTTCTAGAATGAAATCCTTAATGAGGTGTTATACCTACTGGACAAAAATGGATCAAGATATCGAAAATTTTGTGAAATCATGCAGAGGTTGGCCGAAACCGATATGCCAGGGTCCAGAATACATATAGACTTCTGCAGGATCGTTAAACGGAGCATGCTATCTAGTGGCAGTCGATAGTTACACTAAATGGCCAGAAATATTAAATGTAGAAGACCGACTGCAGCGGTAACGATACATTTCCTACACGAGATTTTTGCAAGGTTCGGTGTTGCTGACTCGTTTCAGATAACGGGACTCAATTCATGTCTAGTGAATTTTTATTTTTTATTTTTTATTTTTGCAAATCATTAGTAATAGAACATATTACAACTCCCTCTTATCAGCCAAGATCAAACAGGCAAGCGGAACAGTTTGTCGATACGTTTAAAAGGGCACGAAAAAAAGTCGGAGAGAGGGGAGTCAGATGAAGTAATGGTACAAGAATTTTCGAGTGTTTATAGAATAACTTCAAACCCGAACACCGTGTCTGAAATGTCGACTGCAGAGTTGATGCTCGTCAGGAAGATTAAGTCCGTTTTTAATAAATTATTACCAGAACGTGAAGCGAGAGCATCAATAAATAATAATATAAGTAGATACTTCCAACCGGGAGATAAGGTATTTTTTAAGATGTACCAACCTGGAAAGTAATTCTAGGAAGATGGCGTTATAAAAAAAAACAAAACAAAACAAAAAAAACGGATCGGCAAAATGACATACAAGGTATAAGGACAAAGGTAGGAACATAAGCGACAACTTAGTCAGTTAAAACGGAGATTCACTGATTTAGTATTAGGTTGGTGCAAAAATAATGACGTAATAATGTCGTTTTTTGACCTTAAAAA